GGGGCCGGGGCCGGGGCCTCGCGGCGCCGGGAGCGTGCCGGGCACGCGGTTTGGGAGCCCCGGCGCGACGTGCCGGGGTTTTGGGACGTGGAACGGCAGAAGGCAGCGTTCGGCGGTCCGCCGTCTCCGCTCCGGCAGCTGTCATCTCGGGGGCTGGGACACGAACCCGGCTGATGCCGGCCCTCGGTCTGGCCACCTTACCGGGCTGAGAATACCCACAAACGCAGATAAGCCCGTTTGGAACGACTTTGGCGTAAATATGGTTTCCTGCGTTAAGAAAACACGCTTTTTTAAAAGCGACATCACTTACTCTGAAGGACCATTTTCTTATACGAGCACAAGATCAAACGTCACCTACCTGTACTGCTAGTTTAATCGTTTCTCTTCATCGCTAGGATACAAACAGCTGGGAGATCCAGAAGAAAAACTGCACGTGGCTCATGGTAACACATGAAACGTGCACCAAAGACGATGTGGTAAGAGGACAGTACGGTACAACTTTTGACGTTTATTTAATGCAGTGCTCCTAATGTCATGGAAAACACATCATATAAAACAGAAATATTTAGGGTTTTTATTCCTGGTACTGAGATGAATTGACACTCTCCTTTCAAAATAAACTTTTCTCCAGGTGCTCTGCTTAATAAATTCTTAAGACCTGCTTTGAAGAGAATGCTTTTGAGCCTCATACCAAATTCTCTGCATAGTTGTAAATGCAGCTGATACGAAACTTGAATAATTTCCTCCTGTCTGGAGTCACGTAATCTCCACATTGCAATGGCTCAACAAGAAGTCAGTAATTACTGTTGTTGCTGTAGCAGAAGATTGTCTTTCAAAAAGCAGTTTCTGAAAATCTAAGATACAGTGATTCTTACTTTTTCAAAGCCCTTTCCTTAGAATAAGTGGAAATAGTGCTTTTCTAAGCAAGTGTTCTTCCTTTCCTGAAAGATTACTGTTAGTCTAACAGTGTATTTTCCATTTTTTATCTGCTCTTTGTTTTCCCTTCTTGTTGGATTGCCAGCAAGGTATCAACTGGAGACTAGATTTGATTTAAAAGCCTTCCTAACCAAAAGTAAAATAAGCTTAATTTCTGTAGAGTACTTGCTGGTCTTTGGACAGTGATGACCTAGTCATTAGCAGACTACTGGGCTAAATGGAAACAGTGTATTCCTTGTTAATACCAAAGTAACAATTGCTGTGTGAAGCTAGGCATTTGCTTAGTGAAAGTTCTGTGTCAAGCAGCATCTGAGATGACACTTACTGGAGCAGCAATGTTCCTGGAGGACACAGACACAGGATAATGTGGCCCTTATCCCGTTCTCCCACAGTCAGAGCCTGACATACCCATTAACGCAGTAATTGTAATGCCTTCTTCAGAATGAGTCAGCTGTGATGAGCAAACATTTTGTGTCCTCAGTAACTGTTTCATAAGCTATGGCCATTCTTGCTTTTTTGTTTTGGTCAGCAATTCCAGAAGCAACCAAAATGAATTCCTTTGTTTCCATTAAATGTAGATGTGTTCAGGTAAGCATGCCAGTGAGCATGTTCATTTTGTATGTAGTAACTCCTTCCAGACAGGTAAAACTGTCTTGAGTTAAAAAAACTGCCCTGAATTTAAAACTGTCTTGAGCCCAGCTTGCTGTGCTAACAGCCTTTTGCTTACAGACACCTGAAACTAGCATAACAGTGAATCTCTTATACTGCATTTTCAATTTAGTATCTTAAAATCCCCTGAAATTTAAAAGAAATATATATAGTGGGGTGGTTTGGGTTTTTTTTAGTATGCTTTCCAAATAGCCTGCTCTCTGCATACATCTCTTTGCTTTGTCTGTCCCAAAAAAGAAGCGGTTACAAGGTCAAAATTCTTTCACTCAATTCACAGCTTTCTTTACCACATGCATACGTTCTCACACATGCACAAAAGAAATCTCCTCCAAAATATTTGTCTGTCTTGGTATTTGTTCTAGCAAAGCAGAGCTTGCTGAAATTTTCATCAGCAAATTTCAGGTTGAGTAGGACACAGTGGGTTGTTGCTGACTCTTAGGAGAGGAAATACTCTTGATTTTTCCTGTTCCCTTTAACATGTAGATGGGATTTTTTTTTAATGCATGAATTGCAAGTGTAAGAAAAATGTCTTTGACTAGTTTTTAAACTACTGTACTCTCATGTGTGATAAAGCTTTGCTAGTGCAGTATTTAGGAAATGAGAAGGGAAGTCAGGATCTTGTATGCTGTGTGTTGTGCTTTTCGGCTGTCAGGTCATTTGACCTCACTGTGTGTATTAACAATATGAACATAGGATATTTGTTTTGTAATTTATTTTTATCTCATTATCCTCCCAATGCTTAGAGAAAAAGCATTATGTATCACACAGTGCCTCTTTGGAAGGTTACTGATACGAAACAAATATAATCTCATAATTACACGACAGTGTAAAACTGAAATGGTGTAATTTTTTCCTTGACACACTATTGGTGTGAATCTCAGCCATCTTCAGTGTTGGATATTCAGATGTAGGTACAGCAGAATTGGGCCCACTGCTGTTTAATTCTTTAAGATGTGCATGTGCAGAGCATTCCCTTCTACCAGGACCAATGCACGCGGTTTTGTCCACGTGTCTGTACGGACAGTCCTGTAAGGTATGCTGTCAGCTGCTGGGTTTGCCTGTTGCTGACAAACCTTCCAAATGTCTAGCTTGAGCATCAGTAGAGTGTATCTGGTGAGTGAGGTGTCATCTCAACCTTTTCTTGTCAGCAGGTTTTGCCGAATGCAGTGAGCTGTGTGCTGCCCTCATTACACTGTAACTTACACCTGAGCTAGTAACGTGACTGGAGCTGTGCAGCGCTGCAGTGACAGCATTTGCTGTAGTACCAACAGACGCTCTTTCTAGAGCAAGAGCTGCGTTCTGCGTTACTGTAAATGTGCTGCTGTGGTCAGTCACTAAACACAAGTCACTTTCTGTTTCGTATCAGTTCAGCGATTGCTCCTGTGTTTGGAAGAGAGTGGTTTTCATTTGTGTGAGCTTGTTTACGTATCACTGACAGGTATTTTCTGTCATTTCATGACAGCAATTAGACTTTGACTCTTTTAGAGATGAGGGGCCTAATCCTATTCCCAGTGGGTGTTTTCCCATCTGCTTCACTGGGAGCAAATCAGGGCCTCAGACTTCGTAGACTTAATAGAAAATTACTTTCAGCATTTCCCTATTAAATTAAGTTTGTGGGGAATTAATGATTTAGACACAGTAAGATAATAAAAAATCTTTGCTGAAAATATTTTGTTCCATTAATAAGCTTTTGAGGAAACAAGTGTAGGACAGCTTTGGGGCGATGCTAGCATGCATAGATGATTTCAGTCAGTATGACTTTCTTAATTAGTTGTAGTCTTGCTGAAAAGCTGCCTCTATAGAGTATCTGCTAAATTACTTAGCCTTTTCAGAGAAACAGAAACCCTTAAAAACACCCTCACCAATATCACACACACACAGATCGCAGCTAATAATGTGTCCTCTGTTATAATACTTGTCTCGGAGACAAGTCTGTCTGACTTGGCTTCCAACCACAATGGATGCCGATCATTTTGCTGAAGCAGGACACTGTATTGCTCAGATGGCTAGAACAGAGTTCTCAAACATGGGAAAGCGTCTGAAAAGCGATCACGGAAACATTCCTGAAGAGGGAATGCACGCACTCATGGCAGGTCCCAGCCTGCGTTAACACCGTGAATGCCGACTGCTGCATGTGTTTGGACTGCTGTGCGTGTTTGTACTCCTGCTGAAAGCAGCGCAGCCCAAAGAGACATTACACAAGGCGGGGGCCTCTGAGTGTACACAGCCAGCCTTGTGCTGTGCTGCAGAGGGAAACCACACGAACTCTGCAGAGCCTGGCTTTGGATAAGGAAGCTGTTTGACCGTGCTAGCACACTCTCGGGCAGGGTGAATTCACCTCACTGGAGCACTGTGTCAACAGAACACATTTCCAGGCCCAGGGAAATGCTAAATAAGTTAGCTTAGGTGTTTCTGTACAACAGTGCATTATGCCATGTTGATCGTTTCTGTTTCTCATCAGCTTTAGCACAGCTGTGGTTACTTGGGTATTTTTTAAAATCTGGCGCACAAATTACGAACTTGGCCATTCAGAAAGATCTGCTTTCAACTTAAAATAAGAACATTTATGGAGGAGATGCTGCATAAATGCATTCAAATACTTTTCAGTGTTTAAAGGAGAGAGTGTTACTTCAACCGTTTTCTTTTATGGCATCACATCTTAAAAAAGCATATGAATTTTAATATTTCCTGAAGATTTTATTGAATATTTTCATTTTACAAGAAAGATGAGAAGGGCTAGACAAAACAACAAAGTATCGGAAAACAGCTGAAATTTCTCAAGTTAACATAGCAAATTTTTTAGTGATGTGAATTAAGCAAGAGAAGGCAAACAAGAAGGGGGGGGGCAAATAGTGCTTATGATTAAATAATCATACAATGAAATAAGTAATATAACTGCCTCAAAGCAACCTTTCTGAATGGAAGAAAGTAATATCAGCCCTTAAGATCTCTGCATAAAGATAGCGTAGAAAAATAGAGAAATTGTAATAGTAAGCCATGCAGAATGTCCTATAGCTTTCTCCACACTCGCAAATCCAGGAAAGATTGCCACTAGCATCTTGGTCTTCTAGCAGAACTGAGGGGTTTGAAGGTAATTTCTTGAATTTTATAATTATGAAGTTACTTTTTTTTTTCTTGTCTTGTGGGTTTATGCCTCTAATTACAACCTCTGAATTTTTTATAACCCTTACACAGTAGGCTATGCGTTATTATTTAAACTGGGATTAAAAGTGATCAAGTATGTTAGGCCGTGAATTTAATCTGCTGAATCCCAGAAAGTTTTCTGAAGTTGAGGAATGTGCTTCAGAAACTAAATGTCTTTGATTTTAAAGAACAGTTAAAAAAAAAAAAAAAGAAAGAAAAAAAAAAAAACAAAAAACAAAACACCAAACTAAAAAAACCTGCTCAGGTTTCATCTGACTGCAGTAAAACAGTCCTTTTCCCGTGCTGTACTGACTGTATCGATTTGTTTGAATGTGCAAAGAAATAAACAGGGAAGTGCAGCTTTTCAAGTTTTTAAAGTCTATCTTGCAATGAATTTCTATCAGACCTAATCAGTTTAGCAAACAGAATCATGGAAATACATGGAATTTCTATGTATTTTGAGCAATGAAAAATCAAAAGCAGCTGAACAAACCCGATTGCTTGGAACTCATTTGCTGCATTTTTAATGCTTGTTTCACACAGTGACTAGCTATTCTTTTCTTTTCTTTTTTTTTTTTTTTTTGTAATAACAGTACACACTTGCAGTATGAATATAAATATTTTGGTGTATTTTCCAGATGACAGCACTGGAGAAAGCCACTGGTGATGTCGTGCTCAAGTTTGAACCATTTGTTCTTCATGTGTTATGTCAAGAGCTGCAAGATGCACAGCTTCTGGTAAAATTACATCAAGTAACAATGTTACATTGTTGTTCTATTATATTCCTTGCTGTAAAAGTAAAAGTATTGGCTCCTGAGTAAGCTTTAGCACTTAGAATAGTCCCAGATGTGCTGTATGTTTAATAACTGGGGTAGTAAGAGTATGCTGATGAAGAAAACATAGCTTTAAACTTAGTAGAGATTTTGCTGTACTTCTTAGAAAACAAAATTACTCAACTACAATTCAGTGTTCAAGCTGAAACAGGTTGCCTGGTAAAAAAATGTTTTTCCGGTGAGCCTGGGTTGCTTTCACTGGCTGAAAGCGATGGGTTTTTTTATGTGTCATTTTGCTACCCGCCAGGCCATTTGGCTCCAGTGTTTCAACTAATTGAATAGTACCTTTGCCTTCTGCTTTTCCAGAATGACTCCAGAGAGTAATGCGTGATGGGTTTGTTCCTTCATTAATGTAGAAGAGAGTTGATTAGCTTCTTTTATAGTACTGCCGCACTTTTAGCTATAAAAGTGTTTCATGACTGTCTATATGGTTACCAGCTCTTCAAGATAAAATAGTACAGTGCCCAGAGGGATGTTAATGTCCCATCTGCACTAATGGATTAAGATTAGACAAATGAAGATTGACTGTGGTTGTTTGAAAACCAACCACAATTTGTGATACTACATGCGTTTGATCTTAAAAACATTTTAACGTAACTGTTACTGCATTAATTTGGGGAGATGGTTTTCAATAAGTTTTTTTGCAAAACTGAGTATAAACTGCATTGCAACCCATCCATAATTATTTCTTGCTGTGAAAGTGTGTAAGACCTGCTTAAGGCATTTATTTGTTCCGCAGTATTCAGTGGCTATCGATTCGGGGTTCAGGAACTCTGGTATTACAGTTGGGAGAGGAGGAAAAATTATGATGGTAAGGACTTTTCTACTTACACGTAAAGAATGTAACAAAATCATATCATTACTGTTAACCTTGATTTTTTTACGAGCCAAGATCTGAATTGTAATGTGATTGACAGCTATCACAGGGCATGCTGTAGCAAAGAAATACCTTTCTGCTTTAGTTGACAGTGAACTAACCAATTGTGTGTGTAAGTGGTTTTTTTTCTGTAATGAACTTCCCATATTATTTAAATAACCTTCATAAAATAAAAAACTTTATTCTAGATAAATCCTTCTCTGTGTGTTTTTAGGCTGTCCGGAGCACTCATTGCTTAGAAGTTCCACTGAGCCACAAGGGAAAATTGATGGTCTCTGAAGAATATATTGAATTTCTGATACATGTAGCTAATCAGAAAATGGAAGAAAACACAAGGAGGATTGACAGGTTTGTAAGAGTACACCAATCCTATTCATGACATCTAAATCCAAAAGTGAGAGAGGTTATGTAAAAAAGAAAAAAAAAAACAAAACCAAAAACATCCCCTCCAAAGTCTAAAATACAATTTCAGTTAATTTTTTGAGCTCTGAAGACTATAAACTGTTTAAGCAAAAAACCTGTAAATGACAGCAGTTTACAGACTATCTTTATTACTGAGTAGGGTTTAAGTTTCTTTTTCTAATGATAACAGCATTTGTTATTCTAACACAGTAACCATTTCAGAAGTATTCAGATTGCAATGCACACTTAAATCCACTAAATGCTTTGTATAGTTTCCAAAACTGATGATTTTATGAAGGCGGTGGAAGGTTACGCACACTTTAGGTCTTTACATTTGTCTCCATCTGAGGAACAGAACACGCAGAAGAGCCAAAGAGCATGAGGATCAAAAGGATGCTCAGACACCTACATGTACTAAGACCAGTTTCTTTTTATATGTCCATTGAAAATCTCTGTAGTTGTTAAGTTAAAAGCAATTGCTAATAGTAGCAGTCCATCTGATGATTCACACTTATCATTCATCAGTCGTTTAACCTGATAGCATTTTATAGTTTCTGTAAGATTAACGGGGTCTTAACAGCACATGAGTACATCCACTAATTGATTTCTAACACACAAGCATTACAAAGGAAAGTGGCCCAGCATACATAAGGACGCAAGCTGGTATTTCTAATTTTTCTTCCAGTATTGGCTAGAACATTTCAATGTTAGTAATGATTTTCTTCTCTTAACACATTTTAATTATATTACAAAAGCATTAGTTTCTCTGAGTAGTTTTGCAGATCCTGAGCGAACCTAAAAAATAATAACTACACAATTATTTCTTTCTAGATTCTACAAATGCTTAGAGGTAGCTTTGAAAACTGCCATCAGTGCAAACAACTCACCTTCTGAGGAGACAGAGAATCGCTCTGTGTACATTCACAGAAGAAAGAGGAAGACCATTCAAGAACAAGATGTACATACCTCTCTGAAGGATCACAATGAAGAACTGGAGCCTGAGGATGATACAGAAAGCAATCTTGCTATTTTTGCTGAAATCGTGATATAGACTAAGGCATTTGAAAGCAAATGGAACACTGAATAGTAATTGTAATGCTCTTTGTAAGAGATAAAAATACTGCCTGTTCTAAGTAGTAACACTCTCATGGACATTTACCAGAAAAAAAGTAATTAAACAGAAGTGTGAGCGGGTTTAATGCCACAGAAGCACAGAGAACAAAACCTTAGAATGTTTTGGGGGCTTTTTTTAACAGCGCTGTTGAATAAACAATCTTTTAGTCTGTCAGTTACCACAGAAATAACTGGTTTGCTACAGTTCTCTGTGGAAGCATTTCACTTCCAAATGCTGGGTTTAGGCCTTCTGATTTTTGCAGAGCAGAGAAACTCTCAAAACTGGGTTGTTATCCTTGAAGGTTTTTAATCCCTCTAGGACCTCTGCAAAACAGTGTGCACCAATATAGATGGCCCTTTCAGAACAACAGAAAGCCACATATTAGCCAGCTGATGAACAGTACCTGGTGTGAAGGTTAGAATAGAGAAGTAGAAGTTACATACTGCTCTATGCTGGCTGCAGCTGCATGGGTCCAGGATTGTTCCTGATTCTTGTACCGGGCAGCAAAGTTGATGCTGTTTTCTTGCACTTTACCGTATTTCAGGCTCCAGCCCCACTGTGTTCATGTGTTCTGCTTCCCTTGGCCAGCAGCCATTAAGTGTTATTTTCCTTTGCATCTTTTAGCCAACTCTGTATTCTGGTAGTTCGTTAGCTCACTTACATCCCATTCTGTGTGGCCAGCACCCAGCTTCAGTTCCAGCTGGTGAGCAGAAGGGTCAACCAAAGCGTACAGTAACGAGCTTTCTTACCAGCCTACGAACCACTGACATGCAATAAATGTTAAATATAAAACTGCAATAATCTGTGCATTCCTGTATTGTACCACTGGAAAAGTCACTCCATACTCGTAGTGTATTTTTCAGAAAAATGGTGAATTTGTAAACCTTAGCAACAATGAATTCTGAGCCCTTCCTTTTATGACTGAGTGATCGCTAACGCTACAGAACAAGACCTGACCGAAGAAAATGGTTTATTTGGTACAGTAACTCCCCGTTCATATAGGTAATTGTTTCCATTACATAAGCCTATGTTGTGGGGACATTTTAGTTCCACTGTAAAAATTTGACATACTAGGTGGCAGCCAAAGGAAAAAGTAATTAGAGGCTTTAAACAGATTCTGAAAGACCTGTTAGGCTGTGTTTCCAGTAGCAGGCATGCCAAAACAAATAGATGAACCTGTTGTGCTGCTTGTTTGTGTTGCTAACTTAGAGCTTGAACAGTTTGGTGTGCTTGCTTTCATCCTATTTCTGGTGCCTTGAAAGGCCTCAGCGCCTGGTTGGGGTATGGAAAGGTAGAGGCCAACACATTTGCATCTTTGCAAGCAGACTGCAGTCATGTCAAGTGAAATGCAGGGTGGTTGATGTGTCTGTCCTTGGCTGTTGGCTGCGAGCACAAATTAAGCAAAGGGCAGAAAAAGCAGGCTCTACTATTTTCCTCCTTTATGGAGGTAGTGAGGCACTGGTGGCAAATTTTGAAGATTAAAGAACATCAGCTTGCGAGGTGACCAAGTGCGTAAGATGTTGAAATACCACAACAAACCTTGAAAAGTAATATGCCATATACGCTGTTTTCAAACCTCGTGTGTATTTGGGTGGACTGATCCTTGTTTAATTCTAACTGAGTCAGGGGGGTAAGCATTTCTAATGCTGAAGCGCTGCTTGCTGGGAGGGGTGCGGCAAGCGCCCATCGCCTGGCGGGATCGGAGCGTGTGGCATGGAGGTGGTGGAGCCGCCACAGTGGGGACGTGGGCGAGCAAAGCCGGTGTCCCACAGCCCGTGCGGCAGCAGGCACGCAGGTGGGAGCAGCCGAGGGTTCCCGCAGCAGGCCAAAGTGACAGCATCTCCTCAGGCTGTGGGGACGTGGCATCTACTGCACCCGTTATCAGAGTAACGCTGGGGCAGCAGGCTTGCTTCAGGCTTTTGCAATCGCAAGTTTTTGTGGACCTTCCTTTCCATGCTGAGGCACAACTGCATTTCTTTGAACTGAACCGAACCGAAGCCCCAAAGCTTCCATCGCAAACAGCAACATCTGCTTCAGCGCGGAGGGGTCTCGCAGGCCAGCTACCCCAGCAAAGCCCATCGGCTGGCTGTCCCTGTTCCCATTCCTGCTGGCGGGGATCCCACCGTCCCGTCCCGCAGGTCCCTCCTCACTGCCCGGGGGGGCAGCTCCTGCGTGTGGAGGAGGCAGTTGTTGCTTTTAAAAGCCAGGGGGGGATTTCAGAGAGTTTGTTCAGAACAGTCTGAACCATCGTCTGTGTGTAAAGCAGTCCTAACAAGGTCTGGCGCTGCTCTGTTAGAAATGACTGCAAGTGACTGTAGATGCCGTTAATGAACATGAGCAGTTTCCACACACTTGGCAGTGCTGTGATCTTCCACCACAGGTGAGAAGACAAAATTCAGCACTGAAGAAGCAGAGATGCAAAGAAACCATATCAGACTTCAACCCCAGCCCAAAGAGTATTTTTGAGACCAGAGGAGGCCTGTTTCAGACTTCCGAGAAGGTTATCTTCCAAGTACGTACAGTCATGAACGCACCCGTGTAAGGTGGGAGAGGGATCACAGATCCTCATTTTCCATATAAATCAGGACTTTGGTATGCTTTCAAGGGCAGAGCTGTGAGGCTATGTATTGGGAGGAAAGGGTATTCAATGCAACTACTTCATTTTTGGGGAAGCTTCTTTTTTCTTCTATCTTTATTTTTAAAATGTAATCCAAGCACTACTATAATGGCCCAAACCTTTATGGTATGTAACAGCATGCACAGGATTTACGTTCTTAGAAATATGGTTTGTCAGAAACTGATGTGTGATATGATCCCATGTTCCTCTTAAAAATGATACCAAATTCAGGAAGATTTTTTGACAGTCTTAACCTAGAAAAGTTACCTTAACTATTGCCATCTTGTTACTTTATACCTGTTAACTCCAATTATTGAAGATTGTTGGGGACCTCATACAAAAAAACCCAAGACCTTACAGTAAGAAAAATAAACAGTCTCATGATTCTCGGTGAAGGATTAGGGGATCGTGTTACTTCAGTGCTTAAAATACTGAACAGTTTTTACAAGGTTTTTCTGATGTTTTTAAACCCCCCTAAAGGTTTCAGAAGGCAATCCTGAGGTTGTGTCTCACTGTCCCACAGCCGTGCTGGGTAGGTAAAGAGCACCAGCACTGCCCTGCTCCACACACCACTACCCTTATTTGCCCATATACCAGGGGGTAACCACGCTTTTCCCCAGTCTTACCCAAGTTGCACAAATTCCTTTTGAGATTAATTTTGTCAAGCCGTGTTTTATTTCCACCCCCTAGAACTAATTCTGTTGCACTTTAAATGCAATATTCAGCGGCAGACTACAGGCATCCCAGTGGACAGAAAGGCTACATGCAACAGGAGGCAGCAGCCCTCAGAAAGGTAACGCTAGGGTTCAGGGCAGAAGAAAAAAATACTGATAAGCAACAAGATTCCTAAAAATTGGCAAATCTTTACCATTTGTAAGTGGGCTTAGCCACTTGATTAATGAAAGGGTATTTTCAGCCCAATTTTCATATTTGCTTTTGCTATCTTAAAATATTGGAACATTTAAAATTTCAATTTCATTCACTTTGCATTCAGTTGTTTCTGGGGAGACAGATGTATTAATTCACCCTACTAACAGATCGTTTTTTCTCACCCATAACATTTAGCATCCATACCAGAAAATCACTTTAAGTTGTCATTCCTCAAATTAGAGCGAAATCCTCAAATTAGAGCCAAAGCATTAGCCAGTTGTGCGCACAAAGGGCATCCAGCAGGCACTTCAGCATAAAAGTCACTTGACTGATTCACCAGGATAATTCTTTACATGCAAATCACAGATGTCACAAGCACAAGTATTTGCTTGAAACAGCTTCTTCCTCTGAAACTTAGGTACTTAAATCAGTTTACAAGAATGTAACAGGAACAGCATCAGACTGCAGTGGAAATCATTGTTTTCAAATGGAGTTAAAACTCTCAGGATAGGAGGGCTTATCAGTTCTCAGCCACCACTCCTATTAATGCTTTACTTGAAATTGCCTAAGTCTATGCATTTGACAACATGCAATTATATAAAATCTAGTCTCAGTTTTTAAAATAACTTTGTACTATTAAATATACCATGCATTGGAGTTTTAGAAGATCTTCAGTACTTTTGGTTACTGAAAATACACAATTACTTGGTAATATCTTGTCAATTTGATTTTACATAGTGTGATATTAAGGAGAATGTTTCACTTCTTACCTACCAACAGGTGAAAATAACACCAGTGCAGCATGCTGTGTGTTTTTCAAAAGAACCTTTGAAAGGAAATTTGAGTCTTCAAAAAAATAATCATGTGCCTAAATTTTCCTAGCTGTCCGCTTAAATTCTTTACACCAAGGGAAAGTAAAGGCTGTAAGAATTACTGTCTTAAACCTGCCAGCTCTGGTGTGACAACAGCAGACAACTATCCAGATATCAAGATCAGAGCACCTCCGGCTCTTTTTTAAAAACAGAGAACAATATCCAGATTCCATATAGAAAGTACACATAAGCTCTTACCCTGCTTTCTGGATGCAATTTATTTATGGCAACTGAGCAGACAGAATACTTTGGTCAATTTTGTACTGGGGAGTAAATAAAATCATCTTATTTTGTTTTCATTTTCTGCACGACCCCATGAAGAGAGAAATGTTTTTCTCAAAACGAATTTTTACCAAAAAGAAGATAATTCCTTTCCTCAAATAACACTGTAATCGGGTTTTATCGTTGTTGTGATTAGATTTTTTGATGAAGAACCCTAAAACCTAACAATCTGATCGTTTCCCTGTTAAATCCCCTCGCCTCGCTGGCAGACACACCAGTTCAGCACCTCACCCCAGGAACGCACAGGTCTCGGTTATTTTTCCATGCAGCAGGATCACGTTCGAAGGCATGCTGCCGCTGCACTGGCACCCAGATCGATACACGACGGTCGGTGCGGCAGAGAATTAAAATCTAACCTCTAGCACACGGGTGTCGGACGGCGAAAGCTGCCAGAAGCCCCCGGGACTAAAAGCGTGTGACAATTCGTACGTGCACCGGAGTTCGCTCCGTACAGCAAAGAACAAGCTTTTCCGTTTCCCCAAATAAGCACCTTTTAGGTACGGTTCTACAGTCGTTCTCCCGTGGTACAGGGAACGCAGCGGTGCGGACCGCCCAGGTTCAGGGGGGCTTCGCTCAGCTCCTTCGGCCGCCCGGACGCTCCCAAAGCTCCCCGGTTCGGTGCCGCATCCCGGGGCTGCTCGGTGGGGAGCGGCAGGGACCCCCCAGCACCCTCACTCTGCTGGGGGGGGGGGCGGGGGGCCGGCAGCCCCCCGGTGCTTTCTGAAGGGCGGGAGCGCGGCTGCTGCCGTGCCCGAGCTGCCTCCCGGGGGACACCCTGCGGGAATCCCCCCCCTCCCCTCCCCGCCACCGGCGCCTGCCCACCCCCGCTTGGCCGACCGGGGTTGG